TGGCTCCGGTGGTTTAATGGCAGTGATAAACAGGGGGGGCATGGTTCCAGTAGTTTAACGGCTGTGATAAACAGGCGGGGCCGTGGCTCCGGTGGTTTAACGGCAGTGATAAACGGGAACGTTGCTTCGGGGGTTTAACGACTGTGATAATAAGGGGGGGCATGGTTCCGGTAGTTTAACGGCTGTGATAAACAAAGGGGGGCGTGGCTCCGGTGGTTTAACGGCTGTGATAAACAGGCGGGGCCGTGGCTCCGGTGGTTTAATGGCAGTGATAAACGGGGGCCGTGGCTCCGGTGGTTTAACGGCAGTGATAAACGGGAACGTTGCTTCGGGGGTTTAACGAACGGCTGTGATAAACAGGGGGCGTGGCTCCGGTGGTTTAACGACTGTGATAAAAAGGGGGGGCATGGTTCCGGTGGTTTAACGGCTGTGATAAACAGGCGGGGCGTGGCTCCGGTGGTTTAACGGCTGTGATAAACAGGCGGGGCGTGGCTTCGGTGGTTTTAAGGCTGTGATAAACAGGGGGCGGGGCGTGGCTCCGGTGGTATAACGGCTGTGATAAACAGGCGGGGCGTGGCTCCAGTGGTTTTAAGGCTGCGATAAACAGGGGGGGCGTGGCTCCGGTGGTTTAACGGCTGTGATAAACAGGGGGGCGTGGCTCCGGTGGTTCAACTGCAGTGATAAACGGGGCTATGGCTCGGGTCGTTTAACGGCAGTGATGAACAGGAACGTTGCTTCGGGGGTTTAACGGCTGTGATAAACGGGGGGCGTGGCTCCGGTGGTTTAGCGGCTGTGATAAACGGGGGGCCGTGGCTCTGGTGGTTTAACGGCTGTGATAAACAGGCGGGTGTGGCTTCGGTGGTTTTAAGGTTGTGATAAAAAGGAGAGGGGGGCGTGGCTCCGGTGGATTAACGGCTGTGATAAACAGGCGGGTGTGGCTTCGGTGGTTTTAAGGTTGTGATAAAAAGGAGAGGGGGGCGTGGCTCCGGTGGATTAACGGCTGTGATAAACAGGCAGGACGTGGCTCCAGTGGTTTA